ATCTAGAAATTTCATTGATATTGTAACTTTGAGTTTTACAGAACTAATTAAGCCAAGTGCCGGCGAATACATAGACATTCCCGGAGCCAAAGATACAACATCAATTTAATCTACTTAAGAAAACACATTAAAACCAAACATTAACCAAAGAGATTAGGGACATACTAAATCCATAAAATAATCAAAAGAGTTGAAAATCCTATCACTTAAACCAGCCGGCTCCCAAGTTTTAATTCAGAAAGAAATCCGAACACACGCACTCTGATGACAAACCTGAAGAAACACCGTAGAAGAGAGCACCAACATCAATATGTTGGGCGAAGTCAATCTCTTCAAACAACAAGCTACCACCAGAGTTCAGATTCCTACTCAAGGGCAAACCGTAACTAGTAGACAATAAGCATTTAAATCCAGATTCCTCGATAGACCAAGCTCAAAGAGGGCCACTGCGACAAAGGAAACTAAGCGCGACAAGGAATGAGGGAGACAGAACCAATCCGGTAATTTAAGGCATGCAACACTCCACCAGAATCACACCAAGCGACCCAGATCAAGAGACCACGAACCGGCCAAATCACCACCGAACAGGAAGAGGGGAAATCTAGGACTAGAACTGAAGACAAGTACGCAACCGTAGCGAGAGCAGCTATGCTGCACCGTCAAGAGGCTCACGAGGTCCAATTTATCTGGCGCTACCGATTCCACGTACCCCAACTCTCTGAACCAGAATAACATCCCCACCGAATCAGAACCGAAGCCAGTTTGAAACATCCTCAAAGCCAAGGATTAAAAGCACAACATGCGTACCAAGAGAAACCCTCTAACCAAACGCAAGGCTCAGAGCGCCTAACGCGAACCACCCAAACCTCAAAACAAAGCAGGTCGAGATCAAAACAAAAGCTAGCAAAAATCACCAACAAGACACGGCGAAACATCTCCACCACACTCGTCGAGGATTTCAGAGCCGAATGGGGGAATCGGCAATGAAGATTGAGGATAACGAGTAATCCACCATAATTACTCACACCCAAGTCCAGCTCCAAGCCTTTCACAACCACCACCCGAACCCTAGCCCAGATTTGAGACCATAATCTTCAGAGTCCCAAAACTCTTAATTCAAAATCGAGACATATAAAAACCTTCGACAAAAACCTAGAAAAAGCAACGAAAAAGAAAGCCAAAGGACAGAAACTCATGGGACCGGCATCGGCGCTGTGTTAGCCACTGGACACCGGACCAAAAACGCAAATCTCCAAAGAACTTACTGTAGCACGCGGCGACTCTGTAGAGAGGAAGAAACAAATTCAAACCCTAAAAGAAAAACAACTTAGAATGTAAGATTTTTAATGATTTATTATTCTAAAAAAGGTCATGATTTATTTATACAGAAAACTTAGGTTACATTGAAACTCCGATCAAGGTCTGTTTTCTGTTTCGGAAACGAAAACGCATTTTTAAATTTTTTTAATTTGAAAACGCAATGGAAACGTTGTTTTCATTTTGGAAACGTCATTTCTATTTCGAAAATGCGTAAGAAATACGATTTTTTATTTGTAATAAATTATGTAAATACTTTGAAAAAATAAAGAAAGATCTATTTGTTATTATTAATAAATTTTGAAAAGACATTCACAATTTT